TTAGTCCCATCCAACATTAGCTCTCACCTATATTATGCAGCAGCCTCTTAATGGCCTCTGTCCTGTTGCCCTACTTTCCACTGTCTACTCAAGAGCTAGAGTGATTATTAAAGTATTAATCAGATCATGCCAATTGTGATAGTTAATTTTATGTATCAGCTTGACTAGGCTAAGGGATGCCTAGAAAGCTGGTAAAACATTGTTGTTGGATACCTGTAAGATTAGCATTTCAATCACTAGGTAAAAAAGATCCACCCTCACCATTGTGGATATACATCAACCAGTCCATTAAGGGCCTAAAAGGGGAGAAAAATAGAGAAGAGTGAATTTCCCTTCCCTTCTGGATCTAGGCCATCCATTTTCTCCTGCTGGGGCATTGAATCTCCTGGTTCTTGGACCTCTGGATTTGGGCTGGGATTTAATTGGCTTTCTGAGTTCTCAGACTTTCGGTCTTGGACTGGAACTATACCACTAACTTTCCTTAGCCTCCAGCTATCAGACAGCAGATCCTGGGACTTCTCACCATCCAAAATCACATGAGCCAATCCTTCATAATAATTCTCTCTGTGTATCTCTATATATCTGAATGGATCTGTTTCTCTGGAGCACCTTGACTAGTGTATCAACTTTTCTGCTTCAAACTCTTAAGTGGCCTTTCAATGCATCAAGAATAAAGTCTACAAAGTCATTCACCTGGTCTACAAATCTGTGTTATCCAGCTTTTGTCTACTTTCCATTTTCTTTTCAAGTCAGTCTCTTCCTCTAAGCTCAGTTACACTGACCTTTTTTTCTGTCGATTGATCCCAGATTTTTTTCTGCATGAAGGCTTTTTCACTGACTGTTCCCTCTGCCTGGATTTCTTTTCTTCCAAATCAGCCCACACATAGTACCTGAAAGTCTCAAGACCCCAAGGGGAAGCTTTTGGAGACAGCGTTGTTAGAATCAAGCAAGAAAGTAGATATTGAGAGGTAACCTGTTTCCCTCATGTACATAGGCTGTCTGGCAGATCCACTTCCTTACTGGAGCAAGTTTGGGGATCAAGATGGTGAGTTTGGCCAGGCATGGTGGTGCACGCCTATAATCCCAGCACTGGGGAGGCTGAGGCAGGAGGATCACTGTGATTTTGAGACCAGCCTGGGCTACATAGTGAGTTCCAGGTCAGTCTCAACTACATAGTGAGACCCTGTCTCAAAAAACCAAAAGGAAAAAAATAAAGATGGTGAGTGTGGTTCAGATATATTCAAACTGTGGTGCCTCTTGGGTGTATGTAGATCTGAAGCCCTTGGAAATATTTGGACTAGTTTAGAGACTTGGGGATCATCAGCAGCATCTAAGAGAAATGGAAACTGTGGTGGAAGATGAGGTCATTCAGGAGAGTGAGGGTTGCATCCATGATGGATTCATGGGTGTGGTGGTGCACTCCTATAATCCCAGCACTGGGTAAACTGAGGCAGGAGGATCTCTGTGAATTCAAGGCCATCCTGGGCTACAGAATGAGTCCAAGGTAATCCTGAACTGCATAGCAAGACCCTGTCTCAAAAAACCAAAACCAAGAACAAAACAAGAACAAAATCAAAAACCCTGAAACAGACAGATTCATGATCCTAGATGACAACTTGGAGCTCCAAGCTCCTATGAGACTCTGACATGTGTCTGTGTGTCTGAAACTAAGTCATCAACCAATATTCCTAGTGGGAACCAACAGTCACTGGCATAATCCAGAATGAGTGAATGAATGGGAGAGAGGATAAATACACTCATGACAGGTGGCAACAATTTCAAGGTCTTTGCTCCCAGCCAGACTCCTAATGCCACTTGTCAGTATTTTTATCCATCCTTCTACTTTTTACTACAATTTTCATGCCACATTTTTATTTTTCCACACCCCTCTCTGTACGTCCCATTTATAAAGCAGTTGAGACCAGCAAGTGGAAATTTCCTTCAAATCAATGATCCTAAGAGTAGGGTGACCAACACATGCTGGTTTGCCTAGAACGTTCCCAGGTTTGGCACTATAAGTTCCATGTCCAAAGGAATCCTTCCATTCTGGGAAAACCGGGGCACAGATTACATGGCTTCTCGGGAGACATCTCCATGAGACTAGATAGGGAAATGCATTTAGCAATGGCCCTCTCTGTGACACATCCTTGTTTTGGTTCTTCCTCATCCCTGCTTCACTCCCCTTGTCCCTCACTGCTGCTCCCTAATAAAATGGTCCAGAAGCCGTGTGCCTCAGGCTCTGCTTTCTGGGGAGCCTGGGTTAAGTCAAAGCAGTAGCGTGACTGCCCCTCTGATGATGTGCCTAGGTGTCACGGTGGTTGGAAGAGGATTGCGAATTCCTCAAGAAGAGAAGAGTTTACCTGGAATTCACATAAGTTTTATGTGAGCTCTACCAAGGCCTCATCTTCTACTCACGTGAGCTATGTCCCTGCTAGCCCTTTACTCTCACCACATCCAACCTGTAATTCATTACTCAGTCATAATGTGCCATATGCAGCTTCTGCTACAAGCTGTACTGCTCTGGACCCCAGCCTTTGTTCATTCCTGGAATATCCTCACCTTCTTGTGAACGATTCCTCCTGGTCCCTCATGACTCTGCCTCAGGTACCACATTCCCTCAGAGCCAAGGGTGAGGAAAGCCCCCCCGCCCCAACTACCTAATGTCTGTCTCTAACACTTTGTTTCCATATTATTTTATTTATTATCTCTTTCCCCTGTAAAATATGAGCTTCCTACAGTCAGGGATTTGGTAAATGAATGAATAAACTCTTGCAGCAGCCTTGAGAAATCAGTTGTGGTGACATCATGTCCACTTAAAAGATGAAAAATTAAGACAAATAGAAGGGAAGAGGTATGCAAGATTAGAGGCAGAGCCAGGCCATGCGTTCTTTCTACCCTACTTTGTTTCTCCAGACAAAATACCCATGGCTTTCCCAAGCATTGTAAGCAGAGGGCAGCCAGGGACTAGAGTGAGACTCTCAGGGGAACTTCGAACCAAATCCTGGCCAGGCTTCCATCTTGTCCACAGGACAAACTCCCAGCTCTGTTGCTGCCCAGATATCTCCTGTTGCTGCTAACTCTGTGAGGCTGCTACAGCCTTCCACCTGCTCCAATTTTCAGCTCTCCTTTGTTTTGCCCTCACTTTCCTGTAAGCTCAGCTATACATTTGAAATGATTACAGCACCAAACCAAAACAGACTGAAAATTGCATCCAGCATTTCCAGGTGTTTGTGGCAGAGAACTCCCATATTCTTTAACCTGCCATCTTACCAGTTTAGCCTTCATCTCTTCCCCTACTCTCACTTCATCTTGGAGTGGTTTCTCCAAAGGTGAGACAAACATGTACAACCCTGCATGTATTATGAAAGTCACCCTAGAGGTGAATGATCTGGGACTAAAAGATTGAGAGTTGGTGCTTTCCAGGTAAGGAGGGTGCTGGGCAGTGTCCCACGAAAAGATGTGAGGTGGGGATGAGGAGATCAGATTCACACCCAGTGAAGGGCCCTTCCCAAGCCCATTGCCAACCCCTTGGCTCTCTGCTACCTACACAACCAAGTCCACAATCCACAGTCCTCAGCTTGGCTATCAGGCCTTTCCCCACCTGCTGTGATGACTTCTCCAAGTTCACCACCCTTTAACCAGCCATATGAACTACCTGCCATTTCTCAGGTGTAGCCCATCTTTCCTTCCTCCAGACTGCTTCATGCTTTCTCTTCATCCTTTTCTCTGATAGTTTGTCCCCCAACTTCCCTGTCTTCCAAGAACCAGGTCCTATATCATCTCCCAGGAAGGTGGGAAAATTCTTCTTGTATTCAGTCTTCCATAGCCTGTATCTGGCCCTTCTCATGGTCTTGTTGACCATATTTTACAGTTGTTAGGGTCTATGTTTATATAGTCCCAAGAAGAAGACAGCTTCAACTTATTCTGCTCCCATCATTGCTCAGTATGTCACCTTGGTGTTTTGTTCTGTTTTGTTTGCAGTACCTGGGGTGGAATCTAGGGCCTGTTGCATGCTAGGCATACATTATTGCCCTTTATTCTTGGAAGATGCTCAAAACATTTGTGTGGAATAATGAGAATAAGTGAATGTATGGAGAGCTTACCAAAGTAGTATGCTCTTCCTGGTCCCTGGGCAATGACCATCCTGAGGCCATCATGAACTTGAGGGATGGTGACTGTGAGGTTGCTCTCCCTTTTTTCATCCTGATCTAGGCTCAGGTCTCAGAGGTAATGGAAGAAGCACAACTTTGCTATGAATGGAGCAGAATTTCACCATTTTCTAGGAGGAAGAAAGATACCACATCCTGAAAGATCCCTTGGTCACATCACTCCATTGCTTAGATCAGACAGCAACGCCTGCACCTCCACCCCGGCAACACCTCAGAATGGGAGAACAAATGAATTACCAATCAGCTGATGGTGGAGAGGTTTCCAAGTGTAGTATTGGCATGACAAGGTTAATTCTGGCATGGTGAGTTTAGCCTCTAACTCCAATATCAGAAATTCCTCCACCTTAAAACCAGCCCCTGGTATAGAAATTAAATAAATATGTGAACCCTCCACGTTAATGTTAGAAAGACCCTTCATGCTCATTAGATCTGACGCATGGTTTAGGAAGAAATAAATAATAGTAATAACTCTTTTGAGAGCTGACTCTATGCCAGGTACTATACCGAGCACTGCACATATATTATCAATTTGAGGTGGAAGTTATCATCCCTACTTTATAGAGAACAAATAGGAAAGGCACAGAGAAGTTACATAAGTGACCAACTTCGCAACCCTGCTAATCACAAAACCAGCTGTGCTCAGAGCCCCTGCCTAACCCTATGCTTTACTGCGACTCACAAAGGCAATAACTTGCCTGGGACCTTGCCTCTTGGAGGCTGGACGGCCAACTTTATTCAGAGGCGCCTTCATTCCTGAGCCTTCTAAGATTCTTGGCCACAAAGACACCATGGAGAAGAAAAAGAATTTCAAGTGCATTCTAAGAGCCACCCTCTTGCTGTGTAGTCAGGGAGCCTGCACTCAAAGACCCATCCAGGAAGAAAGATTTGATCTCTTGGGCAGGATCTACTTCCCATGGAAACGCCTGTTTGAGTCGAAGCTCTGGTATGAAGTAAGACTTGTTTAAGGCAGTTAAAAGCTGCAATCCCCATTGTGTCAAGTGGTGACAGTATAATCCTCCTTGATAATTTCATTCCTTCTCCAAACTCCCCTCCATTATGAATCCTTAAAAATGTGACTTCAGATGCCTCTTTAGTTTTCTAGTCCGATAAGTGCAGGGGGATTTGGCATGAGGGGGAGAGAGGGTAAGGATGTCTTTGTTAGATCACACAGAGATGCTTCATTGAAAAAAACTCCCCACCCCATCTGGTTTTTATTTTTTGTTTGTTTTTGCCAGAGCTTTTTAAAAAATGGAAGTGTAAAGTATATGAGGTATGATAAAAATATGGCAAATGTTTATTTAAAATATTTTTTGCTGATTTTTGAGACAGGGTCTTGCTATATAGTTCAGGTTGGCCTTGAGCTCACTATGTAGCTTAGGCTGACCTTGAACTTGGGGTGACTCTCCTGCCTCTGCCTCTCAAGTGCTGAGACTACAGGCATGCGCCACCACACCAAGCAGCAAATGTTTAAAATTTTAAAATATTACAGTAAAGGACGCATTGCCATTAGTCCTCTTCTTCCTTTATTACTTGTAATTAAGAGAACTTGATCTCACTTACTATTTGGTCATTCTAAAGTACAGGTCATAAACAAAAGGCAGGGTAAATCCTTGGCTCTTTATCTTTGTCTATTTTCTTTGAATGATGAATTTATTCTCAAGCACCCTCCAAAGGAATATGCTGGTTATGCCTGGTGCCATAGTAGGAATGGCGGAAAGGCTGAGCTTTGTTGATGCCATAGTAGAAATGGTGGAAAGGACGGGGACCTGTTACACATGGCTTCTTCAGCGTGGCAGATTTCTTACATGGAAGCTCAGGGCTCTTAGAGAACATTTTGAGAGACTCAGGCAAAAGCAGCCAGAAGCCTCAGAAGTCGTATAGCATCATTTCCACCATATTCTGCTGGTTACAAATGAGTCCCTGGACTGGTTCAGTTTCAAGGAGGAAGGCAGTACACAAGCACACCGCGTGGCACAGGGCACTGGGATCTTAGATTTACATGGGACACAGAGTCACAGGCCCTCCGGCACCTCGGAATGTACTTGGAATGTACAGGGGTCCGACTAGCCTATTAGTTTTGGCTGGGAGTTGGCTGCAGAAGACACAGCCATGCTCTGGGTGTCCAGCTTCCTTCAAAGCCAGCAGACTGTGGACATCCCCACTGTGAAGAGGACCAACAGGACGTTACCAAGGCTGTGATGTTGGAGTGCCCATTACCTCCTCCTGCCAACTCGCTGCTGCCTGGTATCTCACAAGCTCTGGCTTAAGATGAACACCTCCACTGGGAGCACCTCAGAGAACTTGACCTTGACTGGCTTAAACATTGGAGTAGGGCTCTGTTCTGAGACCTAGGCCATCCTCTCACCCCGAGGAAGCAGCTCATAGTACTCCCAGGGTTTTGTGCATGAGCTAACCGTGCCACTGCCATGCACCCTTAATGATTGCTCTGAATGACTGCAAATATTTCATCCAGTGGATGCAACCCACTTTATTGAATTGTTCCCTACTGTCATTTGCATTTTTATTACTTACAAGTATACTAAATTTTTTTGTACATGAATCCTTTTCATTTTGTTGAATTCTTCCCTTAATATCAGTTTTCAAGAGCAGAATAGATTTTTGGATTTGGGTATATATTACCAACTTGCTTTCCCTAAAGCAATGAACATTTTCTATTCCAACAGCAATATATTGTGCATATTAGTACAGTACATGCATTTCTGCACCCTTAGTGGCAGAGACAGCTATCATTTTAAGTATTACTGCTAATTTTTTAATGTGTAAAACTCAACTTAAGGTTGCTTTGGATTTTCTCCCCTATTCTACTCTAAGTCATTGTTTTTTCCCTCTCATACCAGTTCTAACTTTTTAAAAGCAATGATACACCTATTCAATAACCATCCTGCTCTTTCATTTATTTGATTATTTTGGTGGTACTGAAGACTGCACTCAGGGGCTTTACACTGAGCTACATATCCAGCCCTTTTTATTTTATTTTGAGACAGAGTGTCCCTAAGTCACTAAGGTGTCCAGGCTGGGCTTAAACTTGCAATTCTTCTGCCTGTGTTTGGAATTAGAGTTGGAATCACAGGCATACACCACCATGACTGGATCTTTTCTTTCCTTTTGCTTAAGAGAGCTGGAATTGGGTTCCTTTCATTTTAAGCCAGAGTTTCTCAGTAGCAGCACTATTGACATTTTGGACAAGATAGTTCTGGGTTGGGATGGGCTGCTCTATGCATTGCAGGACGTTCAGCAGCAGCCTTGGTCTCCATTCCAGCAGATGCCTATATCACCCTGCCATGACTGTGACAACCAAAACTGTCTTCAGAAATAGCCACATGTCTTCAAGGGATGAGGGCAAAATCACCCCAGTTGAGAATCGCTTATTTAGTCTAATGCTCACAGTGATGCTTATCTAAGAAAAAAAAGGAGGACGATGAGGATAAGAAAACTGAAGTCCAGTGAGATGGTGGGATCTTTTTCTAGGTAAGAAATGAGAGGGGTTGGGGATTTAGCTCAGTGGCACTGTGCCTCCCTCGCAAGCTCAAGGTCCTGAGTTTTATCTCTGGTACTAGGAAAAGAAAAAGAAAAAGAAATGAGAGTCCTATCAGATCAAGCAAGAACAGGATCCGGGAAATGATACTACAAAGAAGTGTTGGTACATGCAGATATTGGCTCTCTTAGAATGTTGGGACAATAATAAACTTCACAGAATGATTTGGAATTTTTACCCATGACACAGAAAGTAGCTCTTTACCTAAAAATTCTCACTCATCTCACAAGAGCACCGTCAATTAGTTTTTATTTCTGTTATTTTAGGCCTTTCTGGTGAATGGCTTGGAGCTTTGGATTCGGTGAACTTTGACTGGTTGTCTTCAGAAAGCTCACCACCTGCCCTTCTGAAGCAGATATCCAAGAGGCCGAACTGCTACTGTTAAAACAATAAGAGTCACTGCACAATGATGTTTTACATGAGATCAGGAAAATACCATGAGGAATGAACTTCGTTTTTGGTAAGGCTGTATCTAAGGAGGTGCTCCCTGAGGGGGAATTGTGAGGTGAAGAAGACTGGTGCAGGGGTCTGGAGGTCTGTGTACCATCCTGACTCTGCCACTTATAGTGCGTGACAGTGTCAGGTGCTTGCTCTGCTTGCAGCCTTGGTTTTCTTCTCTCTACCTTGAGAGTTTGACTCACACAAACTTCCCAGTGCTGCCCTCTAATCATTCTTATAGGCCAATGCTAAGTCCATCTCAGCTCCTCCATTCCCCAACCCAGGACCTTGTTCAGCACTGGGAATAAAATAGACACTAGGAAATGCTTACTAAATACACAGATAAATTGCTTAGGAGATAATGAAAATACCCTAGTTTCCAGATGCACAGACTTGGAAGGGGTCTTAGAATTGGAGAGGATGGGCAAGTTCCATAAGTCTAATTTCCTAATGAAAGCTGGAATGCTCTACCTTATTTCTGACAAGTTGAGCAAATAGTATCAGTTTAACTATTTCTGATAGACAGTGAGGGAGCACTCTTTTAATAGAACCCTAACTCTACTCTTGGCTAGATCTATATATTATAAAGTTCTTCCTTATTGGGACCTCGATCAGCCTCCTTTAAGCTGTCATCTGCCTCTTGCTTTATTTTTAAATTAATTTTCATTTTAATACAAGAGACACATAAACAGAGTTTGAAAAATCAAACAATACTAAAAGTTTAACTTACAATGAAAAATAACTCCCTTCCTCTGTCTTTTTTGCTCCCCAGCATTACTCCCCAACAATTTCCCAGTTTTTTAGCCATTTCTTCTGATATTTATAAGTAAGTCCCTGACTTACGAATGAATTCCATTCCAGAAGAATGCTTGTAAGTCAGATTCATTCCTAAGTCAGACAAAGTGAATCTTGTACGCCCTTGACACAAGTATACAATGTAAAGCATTATAAAGCCAAACACACAACTACAGTAAGTCCCCAACTGTACCGTATTACTGTAAACTATCACACTGCACAGTGAGCACATAGCAGGGCAACTCTGATAATGTCCAGTAGACATGTGAGCTATTTCTGCAGTTTGAATGTTTACACAATGCCAGGTCCTTTTGTATCTCAAAGTTTGCAACTCTAATGTTTGTAAGTCGGGGACTTATCGGGTGTATATTTCTATTTGTTTTTATTCTTTTTTTTTTGGCACCAGGGATTGAACTCGGGTCCTTGCACTTGCAAGGCAGGCGGTGGCACCACTGAGATAAATCCCTGGCCCCATATGTACATTTCTAAATGATATGTTTATACAGTTGTTTCTTGATTTATAATATAGGCAGTATCTACCAATTGTCAGTGTTTATGGAAGAAGGCTTAGTGCTCTTAATTAACATCTGCCACCCCCCCCATCCTGTCACTATCTTATTACAATTTTGGCTGAATTGGAATCTAGAGTTGACATTAACATGACTATGTAAGTATTGTTCCATGATAAACCAAATAAAAAACCGTGACTCTTTTTCTGTACTCTTTCATTCTCCCTGGAGTTCATCATTTCTTTGATGAGTTTCCTATATATGTTCTCTAATTCCTCTTAAATGTTTCAACTAAGTTACAAAATATTTATCAACATATAATTTTTAAGAATTTTTTATTTTTGTCAGTTACACACTTATGGTTTAAAACATCAGATAGCTCTACAAGATTTGGTACAAAAAAGCAGTCCTTTTCCTATCACTTCTCCCCTTTCCCTTACTCTAAAAGCAATTTTTTTCTAACTCCTTTGATTCTTTTGGTATATTTCTTTCATATCTCCATATAACATAATTAAATTGCTACTAGTTGATTTTTAAAAAATTGAGGTGTGATTGACAAATGCAAATTATGTATATTTGAAGTATACAATGTGATGTTTTGATATAGGCATACATTGTTAATGATTATCATGATCAAACTTGTTGACAAATCTATTACTTCACGGTTACCACTGAGCATGTGTATGGTGAGAACACTTGAAATTAACTGTGCACATTTCAAATATGCAGCACAGTGTTATTTTTTTATTTGTTTGTTTGTTTTGGTACTGGGGATCGAATTTAAGAACTTGCGCTTGTGAGGCAGGTGCAGCACCACTGAACTAAATCCCCAGCCCAGCAACACAGTATTATTATAGTTACCATGCTGTGCGTTAGGCTTCCAGAACTTATTCACCTTATAACTTAAAGTTTGTACCCATTGACCAATATCTCCCCTTCCTCACCACCCAGCCACGAGTAACACCATTCTATTCTCTATTACTGTGAATTCAGCTTTTTCAGAATCCATGTGTAATTTAGATCCAGTACTTGTCTCTCTGATTTCTTTAATTTAGCATAACGTCCTACATATTCATCCAACTTGGTGAAAGTAGTAGAACTTCCTCTTTTAAGACTGGATAATTGTGTGTGTGCGTGTGTGTGTGTGTGTGTGTGTGTGTATCTTGGCTATTGTGAATAATATAGGAAGGCAGATCTTCTTTTGACATACTCTGAACATATGTGCAGAAGTAAGACAGATCATATGGTAATTTTAGTTTTAATTTTTAGAGAAAACTCTGTTCTGTATCAGTTTCAATTTATATTCCTACCAACAGCATACAAGTTTCAGTTTCTTTACATCCTCATCAACACTTGTCATCTTTTGATTATTGATAATAGCCATCCTAACAGGTGTGAGGTCATATGTCATTATGGGTTTGATTTGTATTTCCCAGTTTGCTGCAGAGATCTGGAATGTTTCCTAAAGGCCCTAGTGTTAAAAGCTGGTCCTGAGCATGGAACTTGAGGAGGTGGTACAACCTTTGAGAGATGGGGCCTTAGTGGAGAGAGGTGTTGGAGAATTCAGTCATTTAAGAGGATATCAGGACCCTGGTCCTTTCCTGTCACTTTGCTTCCTGGCCCCGTGAGGTTAGCAGCTTCCTCTGCAACATGTTCTTACCATGATGTGCTTGCCACGTGTCCAAAGGCAATAGGATGGGAAGGGGACCAAGAGATGAAGGGAAAGAGGAGAAAAAGCAGAGGAAGGAAAAGTAAAAAGAATTGAGATGTGTTAGGTACAAACTCTTCATGATGAATAGTCATTATATACTGACACCATCACTAATACACCTGAAAACAAACAAAAACAAAGGCAGTGGGGTCAAGCAACCATGAGTGGAAACTTCTGAAACTATTATAAGTTGATTTATATCACGTATTTAATACATTCACAAAAAACTGACTAATACACTGTTGATTAATGATTTGAATGTTGTTTTCATGTACCTGTGGCCATTTGCATGTCTTCCTTGGAAAAATATCTATGCCATTTCTTTGACAATTTTTACTGATTTATTTGCTTATTTGGTTTTTTTTTTCCTATTGAATTGTATGACTTCTTATACATTTTGACTATTAAATCCACGAGGAAATAGTCTGGAAATATTTTCTCCCATTCCATGCTATCTTTTCATTTTCTGACTGTTTCCTTCGCTGTGCGATACACTATGGTGGAAATCCACGATGGAGGAAACGACTTACCTCACGGTGGCCAGAAAGCAAAGAGAAAGCTCAAGGTGCTATGGTTCCTAGATTCGCTTCACCCCTCCGCCACGACCTAACTTCCTTCCACTAAGCACTACTTCCTAGTGGCTATAGTACTACAGGATAGATACTAAGTTTTTAAAACATGAGCATTGGGTTATTTACGATCAAGATAATGTTCTTGATAATTATCATTTGATTATCTTATACCAATGCTTCCATCATAGATGGATGTTTGGAAGCCATTGCTCTGCTCATTTTGTCTTCCTTTTTCTTTTATAGAAGACAATGATAAGTCCTCGAATTCATGCCACAGTATACATTTCAGAAAGCTCTTTTACCTGGTCGTGAACAATGGACATGGATAGAGGTTATTATGTTCTGGTAACAGGTTAGAAAATAGCTCTCTCAGGTACTTTTGTTGCTGAGACAAAATACCTGCCACTCAAAGTTAAAGGAGGAAAGATTTATTTCAGCTCACAGTTTGTAGAAGTTTCAGTCCAGAGTTGGCGGGCTCCAGGGCATGGTGGCACAGCAGAGGGGCGCCACAGAGGAGAATCAGTTAATGGCAGGCAGAAGACAGCAAAAGCAGCAGCAAGTCATGGCAGCAGCCTTCTTTCTGTCCCTTCTATTTTGTCAGGCTACACACCTTCAGGGTGGGTAGCACTCACACCCAGGGTGGGCCTTCCCATTATCCATACCCAGAACTGTACCAAACCAATCTGTGGTCTAATTTAGTAACCACACACCCTTGATCCCAGCTTCACACACTCTAGATCCAGCCACCTCTGAAAAGCTCCACCTATCACTGCGTGAGGCTTTGAGGAAACATCTAGACACAGGCTGTAACAGAAACTCAGTGAGGGAAAGTGACCTGTCCATAGTCACATAGCAAGTGCCCTGGAGGGCAGAGCTTTTTAATGCAGACTAGGAATTTGTCCAGCTACACTGTGTCTGGAAACGTACCTTGGAGTTTGCGCTGCTCAACAGCAGAATGTGCCCTAAAGAGAGGGCATTTGGGAGGTTAAGTCATTTTATGTACACTAGAATAAACCAGTTCTGTGCTAGGTAGGGCTCAGCAACTGGCAAGACCCAATGGGGTTGGAAGTCATCAACAATGAGAATGATTTGGCTTCATGCCTGGGACCATTTCTAACCTCTTGTCACACAGTTCCCAACAGGAGCGCTAGAAGAGATCTGCCTTGTGGTGGTTAAGATCGAACTGTTCTACCAGCCCTGGAGGTACAATATGATGTATTAGACCTTGGTGTGAAAGGCAAAAGATGTCTCCACACCCTCCAATCCTAGCAATAGGGTTTCTGTTTTTATAGATTCCAAACAGTGTTGCATATAACCTTCCAGGAGCTTAAACTTGACATACAGACAGGTAAGCAGGGACAGGTTAGTAATCTCATGCATCGTGTTGTAGCTCCAGGGCTATTGTACAGTCTCACCTTAATCTCTTCTTGCTCCT